GACGTAAAGTATAATATGTTAGCGTGCTAACATCGTTGTAAGCGCGTTCTGAATACAGGCCTAAAAGTTTATGTTATATAATACGAGATATTTTTTATATTCATTACTTTAATTTTTTTAAAATCTCATTGTGCAATTATTTCGATTGTACGCGCAACAAATGAAAAATAATTTAATGATCAGTTAATTTAAGCAGTTAATTGAATGTTTAATTATCCCAAAAAATAATTTAATAATCAGTTAATTTAGTAAATTTAATGTTTAATTTTCACTTAACTATTTCGTTCTTCTCGGCCAACAGGAAACTTCGTAATTTGCGTATATATTATTAATGCAGTGGTTAATACCGCGCACGTGCATCCTGCGACGTTCCCGTTTTCTCGTGCCTCGGAATTATGAAACCTAATTTAAAGCGTTCCACAGGGATCGCCTTGCGGTCACTTTGTAGCCGGTCTTTACAGCCACTACCAAACCCGATCCTCTTTGCCGCGTGGAAACTCTCCACGCGCAAATCTGAACGGCCGCGAATGAACCTTTTGAAATTCACGGCTTGTCGGATCTGGTGTTGACTCATTTACAACGTGGCTAGCTAATGTCACCCAGTGACAGTCCGCATGCAGCGTAGCAACCGCACGCTAATGCTAATCCGCATGCTGCTGACTCGCCCGCAATTCCGTACGAATTACGACGCGCTCGTTTCCTCTAAGAAATTCCGCCAGTTTATTCGCAACTGCCTCCTCGGCTGTATCCACCTTTCATGTCGTCTAGGACCAAAACCGACAAACGTGGCCGACGAAGTCCGGGCCACGGTGACTACTTCAAAATTACTCGGGACCGGCTGGAAATAACCTTTGAATTATTTACTAGGAAATATTGTGGATACAGGACCGCGGAGGTCGTGGAGCTTTACAATCCTGTTCGCCCGAGTGCAAACCGTCAGCTCGAATTTTCACGCTTTTTGAGCAGCTCTTTGCTGGTATCGACGATACGCATCACTTTTACCCGCATAATTTTTATTTAAAAAATACCCGTATATTGTATTTAATCACATTGTAGAAATCGATATTTACTGCTCTATTTTCTACATGTTGCTTTCGTTTGTTTGCTATTCGTTTCTTAGGCGGAAGTATAGAGTTATACATAAAGTATAACGCATAATGCATAAAAAATGAACCAATCCAAGTCCTTTATATTTTCTTCTTCTTTAATAAATAAAAGATTCTTTCTACAATAAGCTCATCAGTAAGTAATTAGTAATAGATCAGAAGTCAGGAGCGAATTGTAAGCGAGTCGGTAATGCGTCATATGATAATAATAAGTCAGTAATCAGTGACTGCTAGAGATGATCAAATTCCACTTTTTACGATTTAAGAACTTAGGTTACGTTATGATTGATCAATCACATAACGTATTTATTTGCTTTGAGAACTACCACCCTCTTGATCGGTTGAAGTATTGTGACATCATTCTAATATGATTTATTCTGAATGTAAGTTTCCTAAGATTTTTATGACTTATAATTTTTACCAGTATCAGAAAAACAAAAATTAATTGTAAGTGTTCGATTTTCGAATAAAACATTTGCTGCAACTCCGTCCTTGAATTTCGCAGGTGTGTTCACGGATCCATGATGCACGAAGTTACCAACACTTTGCGTGTTAGTCCAGTATGACTGATTTATAAGTACCTCTTACACAATCAATCGAGTGAGAGGAACGCCTATTTGAAACTCTGCACCAAAGGGCCGACCTTGTTTCCATTTCTGAATTATGTATAGGAAAGTGCTGTATACACGTCATGAATGAAATATACGCCACTAACCAGACGTTCTATGACGATGTCGTTAATATTACCGGAGTTACTCGACTCACGTTAATTCAAATATCGCTTCATACGACGCGGTTGTATTTGTCAAACAGTACAGCACGATATATATGATATCCGTTCGGCATGCGGTCTAATAAATATTTCGTCGGGTACAAAAAGTATCGCGTTGAATATTACAAAAATAGTCTTGCCTGTAACAGCGCTTAATAAAAGCTTTATTCTACCGAGGGATTTCGCAGCATTTAAGGCGGCTTGAAAGCTTTCTAAAAGCACTCAGCCTAGCCTCGTTTAGTCAGATCTTCTTGCCGCGTATAAGTTCGCGATGTTAGAGGTGTTGTTCATAATTCGATGTGCTTTATTCGTCTCGATTTTAGCAGAACAGAAAAATCTTCAGCGAAAGGAAGGATCAGATAACGAAATTAGTCTCTGCCCGAGAATTAACAGAACGATAAACGATATGAAATGCGTTAGTAATATTAAATTCAGTGTCATTTCAGATTAACGAGAGAGATGATATCATTGCAGATGCAAAGTGCAAACTCTGCTTAATTATCCGAAGCTTCTCCACGAGGCAAATCGAGATTAAGTGAACTCGATTAGACTGCTATTCTGATAATTTTATTATCCTGAAAATCGAGATGCTACGGTCACTACTCCGTGAGATTGTGTAATTTCAGGTAATCTCGAATATTCGCGGACGAAGAAGAGCGAAACGATTTCGTAATTTTAGAAAGTAATTTCGGTCGCTGGAATATCGCTGGAATATCGCTGGAAACTCTCAGCCAAGGCCGATGTCGTTCGATTAAGAGTTCAGTCTGCGAGTCTTAATTTGCGAAAGCGGTTCAAATCGCATCCCCCTTTGTTCTTCGCGCGAATCATCGGCCGGAAGAGAGTTCGGTTTTCCGGCGGCGATTTTCATCGCGCGCGATTGTTAACAATGAGTTCATTGAGTTCCGGCATTCTCTTCGATCTTTCCTCTGGAAACTTTGGACAAAACCAATATCTCTCGTACGGTGACAAATGTCACTGTGTTCTCCAACACTTCCTACCAACCCCACGGATTTCGCCGAAGTTCGAGACCGACGAAGACAGAAGTTCTGTCCGACAAGAGCAAGATTGTTCGCACTGATTCGCACATTCGCGACCTAGGAAAATGATCTGCTGTAAATAAGGTCTTTCCTTTTGGGGGGAAGAGGTGTTCGAGAGCAAAGTACCGTAGAATTTTATGGCGGGGAAAATCGCTTAATTTACACAGAATTCCACGACGATTCACGAAGAAATGCATTTCAAGATGCGACGATGATGAGACTGGTCGGAATTGCAACTGCTCGGGCGCAGATTTCGATCGCGACCTAATTTTTTACGCAACCGTCTAACACGATTCCTCTTTTACGTTTTTCCGAGAATGTTCTCTTGATAATTTTCTAAGAGAAGAAATATCGAGGTCATCCAAAGTTTTCCAGTAAACAGGCTGAACACGAGAACGTTTCTCGATACCAACCATGTTTGGTAAAAATTCGGATACCTTCGACAATAGATATTTTCTTCAAATTCTTACTAATACGGATCTTTGCCGATTCGTTTCTTGATCGCATCTATCTCATTTATTCTCAATCGAAATTGATATTTTAAAGTCATCTGTTTTACCTATCTTTTTTCATAATTAAACTATAAACAGTAATGTAGTCCAAACTGGTCGACTTTATACCAAAAACGTTGGAAAATGACAGTTTTGTTATCGGCTTCTGGCGTCAACTCGTAATAGTATTTGCTTTATGTACAAGTTTTATATTTTATACGGATAAAACAATCTTTGTTTGGACTATATAGGAATTACGTGAAACAATGTTGAGTTTTTAGATTTTATATATCTTTTTTACATAACTAATATGAAAGATTAGTTACAAAATTTGTATGTGTACGATTCATGTAGTAGTGTGTATAATGTCAATGACATGTAAATCGTATGTGTGCGAGTCCTACTAAATCGATAACAGACGACTTTAGGACCCTCTTAAGAATATAGCGAACCAACAGCTCGGAAATTGTCGCAGATATTTCTCTTTTCTTTGTCAGTTGAGATAACAGCGTTGAAGTAATGATAAAGCCGGAATTTGATGCAGACTCTTTAAGCGTTGTATCACGACCTGAATTAAGATCAATGCTCGCGCGAATGGAAGTATGAGCAATAAATTGTTTTCCTATTGTACCAAATTGCCATCGTACAATTGAATCTTTTGATGCTTCTCGATTATCTGTTATTTCCACGGTGTGAGTTTGCCAGAGAGAATTTAAAAAAAAAAGAGGAAGGAAAAAAGGAAATGCAGCGACATGCAGAATCATGAAAAATGGTAGCACGGTATATTTTAATGCAGATTCTTTAGCGTATTCTACTTCGCGAACGGGCTATTCACTTCCTCTCGACGCGTAATTCCACTTCTCCGACGGCAACATGTTTATCGTGAGATGTATGCATTGTACAGCTGAAGGATATTCAGGAGTATGCAAAAGGAGCTCGGAGGTATTTTGGAGAGCTACCCCTTCTTCCGGTCGCGCACTCCGCTATTCTTCAAATATTCATGCGAATGTAGAGTCATACTACCATGGAAATGCAGGATATGAATCATTTAAGTTGTCAACCAGAAATTCAGTCGGCGAACCAAAGTAAAAGTATCCTCTGTCGAAGCTTCTTCTTGCGGTAGGTGGTTTGTCAAGGAAAAAAGTGTAAAACGTTGAAAATGGAAATAACACGACACGCCAACTCGGCGTACGATCGAATACCACCTCAAAGCGATTTCGTAGGATTCACGTCACGCACAGACAAGAAAACACTCTCTCGCCTGGCGCGAGATAATACCTAAACGGCGCGTGCAATTAAATTGCGAACGTATTTTTCGCCATTGCAAACGTGTTTGGATCGTTAATCATTTGTGCATTATTGTATTACTACATTGTTCGGCTGGGGTGAGGGGGAAGGAGGAGAGACTTAAAACAATGCTCTCCGAGAAGGGAGGAGTAATCAATCTTACTTTAGCCGGGGAGTACCGTGTATATTAGCTGGTCCGCTGCACACCCGGCACGAAATTGAACTAATTGCAATTAATAACTCTACCCGCAAAACACATCCGAGCGTCGTCTCATCGTCATCCCTTTTCTATCTTCTGTGATTGCAGGCACCAGTTCTACCTGCATTCTCGTCTCGAGCTGATTGAGAGTAGGCTGAAGGTCGCGGATTGGGGCTCTGTGGCTCGTTTGGTCGCCCTGATAGCGCAAGCCGATAGTGGCGATTACGATGCGCTGTCACCGCCGCACGCGCTCTATTCTCAATGCTGTCACATACAACCCGCGGAGCCATGCGAGCCGAAGCCGCAAGACTTCCTGCTGCGGATAGTCCAGCAGCACAAGGAAATCAAAGTGCGTTGGAAGAAGTATTAATTATAATTTGACTATTATACGCATGCTATCACACATCCGGGGATGACCTGAAAGTCATTGAAATTAATTTTTGTTTTATATAATATAATTGAATTGAAAAAATAAATTAAATACTATATTGTAGAAAAACATCCGGGACCGATCTAGAAGTCATTAAAATTAAATAATTATTATTTTATCTAATAATTGGACGGAAAAAATAAATTAAATATTATATTGCAGAAAAGATTAGTGCAGAAAGAACGCGTCGCTCATTTGCTACAACAATGACATAATTTAAAAAAACAAAGTTTTCCAGGAAATAAGTTTGAATAATTACTAAAATTTTGTAATATTAATTTTCAAGTCGAGACCTTCATTATGCAACTAGTCGAATTCTTTTACGTTTATTTTTCCAAATTCATAAATATATATTCTTCTTTTGCACTGTGTACTAATAAAAATAATGGGTTTTTTTTTCTTCTGTAATATTTGATTTATTTCATTTTATCCATTTATTATACAAAATGACAGCCAATTTAGCAACTTCCTGATCTATTCATACTTCCTAACCTCTAATGCGTTTTTACTTTATTCTCCTTTTATTTAATAAATTTTACTACCATCGATCCAACTTTGTGTTCTCTTGTTTCCGATGTTTAATAAATCTTTTCTATCTATTGTTCTATTTTTTTTTAATTTTATGTTTTTGAATTTGTTATTTGAAATAGAATATATGTGACAGCGTTCAATAGAAAATACACAATATTTGTTGAATAGTTGCATTTACAGAGAGATACGATTTTATTATTTTTTGGAGATGGAAAGAAGGGGAGGAAAATTTTGACAACAATCTTTTTTTACAATTTACAATTTGATAACCGAATATTGCTATATGAATATGCGTCGTACGATCTACATGAATAATAGAGATATATGTGAATTTTCAGGGAATGAAAACGTCGACCGCTGAATATTGGCTCTTGAAAGAGATATCAAACCTCGACGCATTCGGACAGGAAATGTTTCACAGTAAATTTGGATACAACGGAGTGTCTATGATCGGCGTTGGTCCGCACGGAATTACGGTCTACCGCAATCAGGACGAAGAGACGCAAAAGTGATTATGCATTAATATATTATTTATATTTCAACTATATACATATATATTTGAGATATGAACAAAAATTGATTTACGCAGTCAAAATAATTCCTCGACAAATTCTTTTAAAGCTTAAAAAAAAATAGCTAAGTTGATGAAATCTAAAACTATACTAAGCGTTTTCATCATAATAAATTTGGACACAGATTAAATAGAAAGCTTAAACGAGTGCTCTTATACGTTGAATAATCAATTCATCTAAGTAATATTGTGTCTCGTTAAATTGCGTATTTATCAACGCGAAATCTCAGATCGACTTTAATGTTGCTTTTCGACGATAGGAGACGGCACGTACCGGCTGTGATTCACGTTATACCATCCGCCGAGATGATCGTTCAACGAAACAGCTGTTACTGAGAGAACTTCATTATCAATTTGTGCTTAATATAAAATAACAAAGCTGTGTCTTCTAATGAAATTCTTCAGAAAATAATATTAATACATGGAAAATGCTCATGTGCGATAAGATCAATAGAGTCCTTCCGAGCTTTGCTTCATCCATTATGCAGAAGGAAGATTAGCATCAAGATTTTACTTTATCTTTACCTCCATCATGGTTCAATTTATTATACGATGTATTATGTATTGCGTTACAGCATACCGTATACAGCCATACAAAGCGCTACATCACAACGGCGGATGTTCCACTTGGTTTACCTCTCACTTGACGGCGAGGAGACATCACTGGACTTTAAATTAGACTCCAGCCAGTCCGCCAGTGGACTTTACAGAGCAATCACCGAGAAACATGCGTTTTACAGCTGCGAGACAGTTAGGAGCGCGGTCACCGCGCAATTTATCCGTGATTTAAAGGTATACTCCCTGCAGCGGATTTTGTTTTATATATTTGATTTATTTTTGGTTCTTTTACGCGCTGTTTCTTTTTCTTTTGATACAACTTGTTTTCCTAAGCCTTTTTTCTTGTGATAAAACTCGTTTTCCTAAGTTCTTTTATTTAAATTCGAATACTATAATCGATCGCTGTTACTTTCTTCCAGGGGACAATAATTTCCATTTTCAATGAGGACTCGACCCTGGGCAAGAAATATGTATTCGATATACGTAGGACCTGCCGAGAGGTATATGATAATGCGCGGCGTGCACTTTATTGCGAAGCGGCGACCATAGCTCTGCCAGAGGAGAACGAGATCCTCGATAGGCATGCCTGCGGGGAGTGCGAGAATCCTAAGTGCAAGGTGAGCGACGAATTCGTACCAATAAGCCATGCTAATCGGAAGATTCGCCATGCGCACTCGATACAAACGATTCGTACGATTTCAGGAATCTCGAGAATGTTTAGCGAGATTACTGGACGCTATGCTTTGCCGGATCTGCATGGATCGAAGTTTAGACACAGCCCTATTTCCCTGCGGACATGCTGTGGCCTGTTTGGACTGCGCTCGTCGCTGCGAACGTTGCCCGTTATGCCGGGCCGACATCGATTACTGCCGGACGATATACCTCCCTATCGAACTAACGCACATCGACAAGCACAATCCGAAACTGCTGTCGGAGACAATCGAGCCTGTATTCAGCAAGCCGCTGACGGAGGAGATAAAAGACAAAAGAATTTTGGACAGCGAGCCGTCGGTCGACAGTAATATTTGAGAACGTCGAGTCAGACTCGGCGCGTTTGAAAGATTCTTTAGGATTGTCACTTGCCGCGCAGGAAGGGTTTACTGAAATACAGGAGTGAAGCACTTTTCTATTTATCCGTCGAGCGACCGACCGAGTTTTTCGACGTTCGTTTGCATTCCGCAACGACGTTCATCCGATTAAAAAAAATTTTTTTTGCGCAACGATTTTAATTACGTGCAATTGCGTGTTTTATTATCATTTGATGTTATTTCCTTGTGTTTATTCTTAATTTACCTATTTAATTTTAGAAAATGATATTTATATTCGTAAGATTACTGTAATCATCTTTTTTTTTTACAGAAATGATTTTATTATTACCAATAGAATGGTTAACACCAACATTATTGTCGATAATAGAACGGTAAATACCAACGTTATTGTCGATATTACTTTTATTTTGGAGTTATAAAATTATTTGAAATTATTATGAAATATTAGTTTATGCAAAATCACGTATCTTGAACACCTCAGTTACTTCTTCAATAAAAATTAATTAAAACTATTAAGAAAGATTTTTATTGGTTCTTAGAACAAAGAAATACATTTTTCAAGAATAGTTAAGCTGATTTTTTAAAATGATTAACAAACAGGGTGAATGGTTTGAAAACACTGAAATTGAGGAACGACTGGTACTGTGATTAAAGATGATATCGTTGAGAAGGCACAGGAGATACGAAGGTAGCATAGGTAAATCCAACGAGGGAATCATGGGATTACATTACCGTATTTACATATTCATGGTGTTACAAATAATCCCTTTAATCGAGCGGCCGAAAAGTGCTATTAGCAGCATGGATCTAATAAGAAACAGTGCTGCCGACATGTGCGAACAGAGATATAAACTATATTATACAAGATCTAAAAGCACTTGGAGTAAATTTTTATTTCTAACTGATGATCGGACCAATTTTTTCCTTATTATTTCATGATCTTTCTCAATGCTTCTGTGTTCCTCTTGGATAGATACGCTTCTTTTTGGTCGTATGTTTACTCTGATCTAGATAACATTCGCAGGTTATACATATACAGGTTATACATATACACATCGGGTCGAGAACTTTTATCGGAATCGGTGACCCAGCATATTTTTACTACATTCGTTATTCATTACACATATGCGGTATCGTTTACAAAACAACCGCTACAATATAGCTGCTTCTAACGGATGTTTCAATGGAATAAAATTTAAATCGTGTCGATATACTTACATTAATTACGATGTTTACATACAGTTTACAATGGACTTAGAAGTATTATTGCATTGCCACTTTAACTAAACAGTAGATTGTAGTGATAAAGGCAACACAATACATTACATTTAGATATATATTGTGGATCTATTTTTATCACACATATAGTAAAAAAGTAGAATTAAATATGTAATCATTACAGAATTGTTAGTCGAAAATGATTCCCTGCGAATTATATCTTACCTCTTTTTTTTATTGAAGTATCCCATATAAAGAAGGAAACTTTTATTACCATAATATCTGTTTATATATGTACATAAGAAGTGAGATAACCCGCAGCAGTAGGGTCAAGTGAGTAAAAGTCATGAGTTCACCAAATGTCAAATCTGTTTTAATATACTACGCGCATACGTCATTCTTCGAGTAAGTCATAATAAAAGTGAAACGAGTTAATTGTCTGTGCTTTGCACCTAAAAGATAAATTGTAGAGTAAAAAGTCAATGGCATTTTGTGTCCAAGGAAACACAAAGGAAGACCATTCGTAAATAAAAATAACATATTCTTATTTAAATTGTGTGTCTTGAGCTGGCTAAATATTCAAAGCACTAACCTTCCTTTTTGTTTCCTGTCAGTGAGAGAAATTCGATATTAGCAAATTGTGAAAAAATAATCTCTAATGAATTATTTCTAATATTTACCAATAGCATTCTATGAACTGTGTATGAGTGATGAAAGTGACAGAGAGTAAGAAAGAAAAAGAGAGTGAGAGAAAGATAAAGTATGAAAAAATAATGATCGTTATAGTCATTTATCAATGCAAAGCAGACTTAGTTTGTAATTATTTATAAGAAGAGATGATAGTATGTATTTACATGCTACTATGTTTAACGCCCTTCAAGAGACTCCTCTTCAGATACAGCGTAGTCTATTTGAAAAAATATAGACTTAGTATTCTATATTATCATGAGATACGCTTTGCGAGTTTTTAAAACGTCGATATGATAGTGAAACTGCACTGTATCTGATTAGAGTATCGTTTTGAGTGATCTATTCTTTTTTTTAGACATTAACGTGAGCGTCAATATAAAAACGTTAAGTTAAAATTGTGATTATGCAAATCAATGCAATTCTGCAATAGGTAAAAAAAAAAGATATAAGCAACTGTTTTGTGCGCGTCAAGACAAAATATTTCTGACGTAAAATATCGCGTAATTGCCGTGGAATAATCTAAATGACGATAAATAACTTTGGAAATGATCGATATAATTGCGCGATTACGTTCTATGAAATATTATAATCGTCTGCAGTCGCGAATGTGAAAACAAAATAACTTTGTACCATTACTGCGTGTCTCGATAGCTGTAAGATTACTAATAATGATGACACAACAATAACACTATTATTACACATTACGATTAATAATTTCTTGTGATTTTAAATCTCTGTATAAAACATATATAAGAAAAAGTAATTCAAAATATTGTAGCTAATAGATCTATATGGTAGATATGAAAATGATCCGAGAGAATGAGAGAGAGAGAGAGAGAGTGTATGTGTGTATGTAAGTGTGTGAATGTTATTTCTAAAAGTTTTTCATTTGCAAAGAGTATTTTTAAAGTATTTCCAATTATTTTTTAGTATTATATCAAAATTCCACCTAATGCGTGAGACGGTGGGAAAATGCGGGCGTACATATGAAATTATAACTTACAAGACGTAAATTTTAGCGTTCAATACGATGTTCTAATCTGTTGATTAAATACCGTAAAACATTGAACTACCTCTTTTTTACTTTCCCTCTATATTAATCCTTATACAAACAAAAAATTGTCCTACGTATAATTTCATATATTATGAAAATTTCTTATGTATTATTCGATTATATTATACAAATTTTCCACTTAATTAATGATTAATTATAATTATTATAATTATTATGATTAATTATTATTAATATATTATAATTTTATATATAATATGTATTTATATATTATATTAATTATATAAAAAATATACAATTTGTGTAATTATATAATTAATATAATATATTAATTATATGTACAACATATTACGCTAAATTTAAATGATTACAGGCGCAAGTTTATCGCATCGGGCGATAAAGCATGCTTTAAAATCACACGTTCTCCCATTTAATTTTATTTCGTTTGGAAACGTTTCAGTGTTTCATAAGAGGCATGTTTGTCACGACGCTTCTCACGCACGTTTTGGTTTCTTCTATTCAGCAGATATTGTATGTCAGCGTAAAAATTAGCATCGCGCGGTGGAACGACCGGTTCGGTTGTCGGCGCGTTCGTAGAAAGCGGGTTCGTACTACGGACTACAGCCATCTACTTTTTTTTTTTCTTTCTTATACTTACATGTCGTGCAAAAAAAGCAGTTAGATGAAATCTGCCTTAGGCAGTTTTGATACTGTGATTTTTGAAATCGCGTCGCGATCGTAATATTAACGTTAAAAAATTATTCCAAATTAACAATTAGATAATTTTTCAGATAACATAAAATCTAAAATCGGGACATAAGACGACTTTTAAAAAATTCTCGCAAAATTTTTAGACGTCTTGTGTTCCGATTTCGAACTTTGTGTTATCTGTCGTATTGAATAAAAATGAAGATACAGATAAAAATAAATCAAATAAAAACCAAGATATAGTATCGAGATAGTTGTATTTCTATGAAACGCAATTCTTTCGCAATACTAATCAATAAGTTCTACGGTTTATACTATCGACATGACCAATCGCAGAAAGAGGGACAACTAATAATAGCGAAAGAATGGCGAGTGTTATTTTTATACCGTATCGATATCATATATTTATCCTCTCAGTCAGACAATATATGTTCTTATTGAAAGTAATAAATTTGATTGATCTTTGAGGCACAATCACTTTCAATGAATGCAAAAAAGTTAGAAAATAAATGATCATATTTATTCTGAAGATAGGATTAAATACAAAGTACAAATTTTCTAATCAATCTCACTATTAAATTCTTGTTAAGTAAGTCGATGATTCATCTTTAATAATGACAACAATCAACGAAAGGATGCGTTATCTTGATCAAATTTTTGCGTTTCGAGAAGTCAGTTTTGATGAAAGAAAACAGTTATTAATGATAATAAATTCTATGGCGATTGTTATGAGAAGAGATTATAATAAAAAAGATTTTTAACTCATCAGTCAGCTTTCGAAGAATCTAAAAGTTCGAGATGTAAATCAATTCACATCGGCAACGTGTATGATTAGGATTACCATCCGAATTATAAGAAAATTGTACGTTAAAAAATTATCTGAGGGTAGAAGAGAAAGAGGTATATTTTTTATACGTTAAATGTAAGTTTAATAAAATAAGATTTCTACAATATAACTTTTATTGACAAATCTCATTAACATAATTTTATAAACAAAATTTTATAAAATTTTAATTGATGATTATAAATTTTACGACCTCAAAAAGAGTGCATGTTCTCTTACTTTCTTAAGCCTACGATGTTAAAAATCGGTTCGAACTCTCGGATAGAGAAAGAAATTAACAAATTCCATTTGATCACATGATTGCGATTAATCACAATTCTTTCTTCCGAGATCTTTTTCCGACCGATTTCTAGTATCATTAATGCAAGGCTTTAAATACAAAAAAAAACTTAAACAATAAGGAAATCAACATATTGGAATCGTTATTGCTTATGCTATCGTCTCTACTGTGTTTAACCAGTTCGCTTACTGTTTACGTTATACTTAAATATCTTTGTGTACCATAGCTTTAACTCTATGGACGCGATTGACTTAACGCTGCAAATGCTTCGTTGACCAATGAGAAGAAAGAATGTTACAAATTGACCAATGAAAGAACGTTTGAAAGTATTTTGAGCGTAAAGTGTATCGCACCGATCGCACCGAAGGTGCCAAGGCGCGATGTAAATTTGAAATTTCGCGCTGCTCTTCCATTGG